CAATTTCACTTGTACTTACGAATCATGCATAGACATGCTAATACACTAGCTAGTTGAGCTGGTTATCATATGTAATGGTCTATGTTATCCAAAACAAACAGTTTAACTAGCTAGTGTATAAGATGTCTATGCATGATTCGTAAGTACAAGTAAATTGTCTTATGATAAGATTTTTAACTAATTTCATAACTATAATTAATTTGCAGCCCAAACACAATAAATAAATCTCCTTTCAAATGACTTCTAAAACTTCGTGCCAATTTAATAAATGATTCATACATCTTTGGTTGATAGTATTCTTCTGCTACCAGAAAATATACACGCCAAAGATTGATGCTGCAATTAGAAAAATAGAGATCTTTGATGACAAATAAGCACATGCTTACTATAATAGAACTTTTCAGGGATGTTTAAATGCAAGATTGTTTTTCGTAACTATGAGTTGACAATCATACCGCTAAGAATTTTATAAAAAGAAGCTTCAAGAGAGTAAAAAGTAGAACTGAATTTAGATATACCGTAAATACCAATGTTTTCAAAACCGGACCGGACATTGAACCGGTGAAGGTACTGGTTCACTGGTTCAACCGGGTTCAACCGCGATTGACCCGGATTTTATATTAAAGAATATTTTTTTTTAATTTTACATAATATTCAAAGCAATATTAATATATATGTAACAATTTTTTTAAGTTTACAATATTAAAAGGTATAAAAATATCACAAGTCATAACATGTATAAATGAAAAACCATAAAATCAAGTGAAACAAAATGATTCAAATCAACTACAACATAATATTTAAGGTAAAACATATTAAATAATAAATATAATTATATAACTAAAATCAAAAAAATAAAATTGGGGTTTAAAAAAATCATAACAAATGATGTCATTTGGTTTAATTGTTTTAAAAAAAATAATCCCACATGGCTAAGAAACATAGAAGAGTATCCCAAAAGTTTAAAGAGTAAAAATATGAGAACAAAACAATCCACATGGCTAAGAAATATAGAAGAGCATCCCAACTTACTTCTATAAATAATAGAGGTAATTTGACATTCAAAATCATGGATCCTTTTGGTGAGCACAAAGTGAACTATTCTTTCGCTTCAATTGAGCTCAAATTTTAGGCTTCAATTGAGCTCAAATTTTAGGCTTCAATCGAACTTCTAAATTTTTTTTGAGTTCGAGCCTTTTTGATTTCAAGTTTTAATATTATATTTCGAGTTGATACTTTTTAGCTCGTGAGTTTTTGAGTCGAGTTGAGCTTACTTTTAAAGTTTTCGAGTTCGAGTCGAGCTCAGCAATACTCGAATTTGACTCGGCTCATTGAACAAACGACGTTGTTTGGTTTAATTTTTTTTAAAGAAAAAAAGTGAACCGGCGGTTCAAACCGATTTTGTCGATTTTCAGCCGGTTCTTTACCGGTTCTGTGCTAATCCGATTTTGGGAGTTAACCGGACCGGACAGGCCACCGGTTCACGGTTCAACCGGTCGAACCGGCCGGTCCGGTTTTAATAACATTGGTAAATACTGCAAAGAATGAAGTCATAAAAAGTGAAACTACTTACTCTAATATACTCTATTAAAAAATCTCCTTTTTCATTTCCTTTGATGTTTTTGTACTGTTGAATGTTTTTGAACTTGTTCAAACACCTCCACTTGTTTCTTATACAAGTCTACCCCGAGTACTATTCGTGTATTAAATAAAAGAAAGAATATTAATTTGGATGAGGATAAAATGTTAACAAATAATCAAAATTCTAATTCAAGTATAATCATACTAACTGAAAGTTGGACCTCTCATGAAAATGAGACAGTAGACGGTGTATGACTCATTATTTTATTGTTCAGTCCATACTAACCTTGCATTCGCTACCATTTGCTTTCTATAATCGAGCTCTTTATCGTTAATTTGAAATGTTGTTTGTCTTCGATGTCGTTAAATTCTAGCATAGAAGGCCCAACAAAAATCTCAACATGTGAAGGGCATATACTCCCTCGCTCAATAGCAGTTTTGTAGGTACATTCATTCTTAGGACCAACATTCGTAACCACTATATCAAACGTGTAAGAAGTATTGTTTGCTAAGATCACACTGAAACTCGGTAAGTTTAGATTGTTTCCAGCTATTTGTTCCCCTGGATCTAGTCCACCAATTCTTGATAACGTCATTATTTCTGTTGGTCAGTTTAGAATATATATTCTGAATTCATTCCGGCTTATGTCATAAACTAAACCGAGCTCAATGGCTTTCAACGAGTTTATTCGTCCAGTTCCTAGTCACATCAAATCTCCTTCATCCTTATTTTAAGATGTATTGCTATCATATTATCACATAAAATAAAATCACAAATCATAAGATATAAATTTACAAACATATATAGAATGAATATGCACAATAATTTGCATATTTAACATAAACTTATATTTACATGCATATCAATTGAGTCATTCGAATTAAAGAAATAGTCAATAGAAAAAATAATAATGATATCAATATAGATCATAAGAATATCAATACTATTGTTCTAAGTAGTATCAAAACTGGATGAGTATCGATACCAAAATGATATACTAAAAATTGGAAATTTTAAAATAATATATTTTGAAAAGTAAATATTTTATTCATAATTTAATTTAACACTTACTTGTAGTCATAATTGCAGACTTGATTCTTGTAGGATTCCAAGAAGGATGAATTGTCTGAATGTATGATACCATTCCTACCACTATTGGAGTAGAAATTGAGGTACCATTTCTTATGCAATAACACCATACATATCGATTGGACCAAATTTGTTTGCACATGTGATATTTTCTTCAGGGGCACAAATATCATGCTATTGCAAGATTAAAATTAAAATAAATCATTAATACTATAAAAAAATGCCGTAAAATTTTAAAAATTGAGTTATAACCGTTAAGTATAAACAAGTAAATTATATTTACAGATCCAAAACGTAAAAAAATATTATAATCATAACTATCTACCTTGATAATATACCCATCATAAGGATTCATCATCAATCGATTTATAGATAACAAAATTAACGTGGAGTGCATCTGTTTATTTCATATGGGCGAAATGGAATTGATAAACTTTTAACAGTTTAGCAAGAAATAAGGAGAATATTTTTAGGAAAGACTGTTAATGCTATCTTTTATCCTTTTTTAACTCAACGACATATACAGAGACTAATACATGTTGATATTATAATAGTGCGGCACGTTGATATTATAATATTATAGTATGAAGTATTATAAATGCATGTAAGTGGCGTGAGTAAACTGTGAGTTGTTAAGAATTTGTTGGGGTGAGTACTTGCTAGCTTGTGCCAGCTGGATAGCTGTTATAGGGGAGTAAGGAATTTTCTAGATGAATGTGAGTAGGACATCTCGCGGATGAGTACTTATTGTACAAATATTTTCGTTTTCTTCATAACTACTCTTCAAAAAAATTTATGATGAGTGTCTTTTTTGATTTTCTGAAAAATATTATAAAATTTAAATATTTAATTTGTAAAATATAATTTATTTCTCTTTTGAAAAATATCTCTCACTAACAATGTAACCTACAAGTTTTGCGACTTCTGATAGTTCCATATAAAGATTTTGCAATCCAAACTGATATTTGATATTTTTATCAAGTTTTACTTCAACAAACAAATTTTCTAATATCTTTCATCTTAAACTTTTGGTCAGTGAACATTTTGCGCGTTTACAAACAATTATTTGTGTATCCATATCCGTAAGTGTTCTTCGTTCTTCTTGATAACAACTACAAGATAAAGATGTGTATATCATGTCAGTAATTTAATCAATTAAAATTTTATTAATAAAATTGGACAAACGATAATTAACTTACTTGAAACACAAAAAAACTTCATGAAATTCTCTGTCTGTAGGGATTAATGTACTGATTCTTGTATCGATAAAAGTAATATTAGTAAATTTGATCAACACTTTTTATTGAAAAAAATAAATAAATGTTACTTTAACTCTCGATCCATCTTAAAACAAAATATGTGTGACAAATCGGCCACCAGAATCCCAAAACCCAACTGTAATGGCCCAAGGTGCTAAAGTAGCTATTGGATTTTCATCACCATAATTCCCTGATGTGCAAACCGCAATATTTTCTTCAATTGCTATGAAGGCTCCAAGATTGATCATGTCTTCAAGATAAGACTCTTCTTTAGTCATTCGTTTTGCTAGAGAAATAGATATCACATCCACCTTATCACTGATTGCTTGTTCGATTGCTTCAAGGATATTTCCTTTTGTTGTTTGTTTGTGTACTTCATCTTCTACCTCCACTTCACTACTATGTATCTTGTAGGAAGCAATTATTGCGTTTGGATTTGCACCTGAGATCGAGTTATTTGGAATTCCATCAAAATCTTTAAGAAATTATAATTCCACACGGTAGTCGGCAACAACTTAAGAACATTTAGTCCCACGACGATCTAGATCTTCAGCAGAACTGGAAATGATAAAATCCCTCAAGGCCACCAATTTTCTGCATTCAATCATAATAGGATTTTGGTTTTAGTCCTAATTAACTGATGAAATAAACTATTTAAAATTCTTTATAGTTAACAAAAATATATGAATTATGTTTAAATAAAAAAGTAAAAGATTTTACGTCTTATAAGTAACTTTTATTTTGCAACCTCTCCATTTGTCGTCAGGGATTATATCAGAAATATTTTCATCGTGAAACGATTCGTGATTGGCGTTTACACCCGAGTCAATGATTCCAATTACTGGTCTGCTTTTATTTGAAATGTTATACTTCTCTTCGAGTAATTTTTTATCGTTCATTCCAAAGTTTTGCATTCTAAAGGTTGTTTGTTGAAGAAGTATATACTATACTCATGAAGTAATATAATTAAATGAATATAGAGTAATACAATTAAACCATTTGAGAATTTCAATCAATCTAAATAAATTTTACAAATAATACATAAGTTGTTCTTACGATTGTGTTTTCTCTAATTAAATGAAATCAAATTCTAATACTAAAATTCAGATTTTTCACGTTACGGATCCCACCGAGGAAGATGCTAAGACAGAAAGAATCCTTTACACCGTTCACCTAATTGCAATTTCATGTATATTAAAATAACGACAGAATGAAAAATATATTTCCAAAAGCAAAAGAGAGATAAAACGCAACTCACATCATCAAGGCCAACAATGTTCTTGTACTTTGCAAAACAATTGGCAGGAGACTTTGCATTACTGACTAAATTCTCGGAAGAGCATGCACTAGCCTGTTCGACATTTTTTCCACCCAAACCAACACCAGCTTCCACAATGAATAGGTGTCGCTCAAAAACTTGAGCACTGTATAAAATTATATAAAATCAATCATTTAGCAATGAACTTATCCGCCATTATCTTAGCAAGGTGTATTATTGATCTAAGTCAGCCCGTTGGGACAAACCTGCCAGAATAAGTTACAACCATAGCAGGGTGTAGTTCCTTTATAATTCCTGAGCGAAGATTGTATTCATCTGCATGGCTTAGACACTGAAAAGAGCATTGAAGTTAACAGGGAAAGTGTTTTGAAATGCAAGTTGCAGTAATAAATAAAATAGCAAGGCACTATTTGTATTATTGACAGAAAATTGAACAATCAAACAAATGTAGCTTACATCACCACCGGGGTCGTCAAATTTAGCCTGATAAAATAACTGTTGAATGCGAACCATCTACTGATCAGTCATAGATTTAACAGCCATTTTGGGACTAAAATCAGGACCCGTATCTCCTATAGAGTGAGCAAAACAATCACGATGTCTAACAGAGACGGAAGAGGTTTTTCAAGTCAGTTGCCTACTAGGAAGTTACACAATGCAAGCTCAAGGTGCCCCAATCACACTAGAACAGCAAGCTCATGCTATTACTTTATCATCCTGCTTTCTAGGAACCCCACTATATAGGAATCTTAATGAAAGACATAAGAACTGTTTATTTATTTTAGAATGATTAATAGCGAAATGATTCAAATGCTAAATGATTAACATACTTGTATGAATTAATTATGAATCTGACATGCTGTTTAATAATGATTCTAAATTATTTAGAATATACTCTGACGATGAATATAGAAGGTAATCACCAATTTTTGTCCTATGCCCTGCATACACCATCCCTGCCAGCTCCCCACCCATGCCTACCAACGCCATACCCTGCTGCAGCAGCAAGGCCACTATCTTCACAAATCACGGCACCTTCAACTGCCAATCAGAATTTTTTTTATTTTATTTCAGTCTGTAATAGGTATATAACCAACCCAAAAAGCAATGTAACAAAAGGGGAGAGAACCATTCGAACAAAAAAAAAAAGAGAAAAAAAGAGAGAAGCATTCGAAACAGAGAGGGAAGAACAAAAAAACAATGTAACAAAGGATTTTTTTTTTGGAGAATCAAACAAAGAATCGAAAAAGCTTCTTTCCTTTTTAGGTATTTTAATCTCTTCTTCTCTATTTATTTTGGCATATATTTCAATATAGAGTAAAAAAAAAAGAAATAAAAACGTAGCAGGGAGAGAGTGAGGATTTCGGTCGTTACCTTTGATAGTGGTGACGTCGCCGGAATAAGGATGTCGCCATCGTCGGGTTTAGAATCGAATGGTCGGTGTGGCTCTCGAGTTCGGGCTTTAGAAGAGAAGGAGGGGAGGTTTAGTTCGCCTAGAGTTTCGTTTAGATTCAACCGACCACCATTGCTGGTGGTCGAGGCTCGTAGAGAGGCCGATTTACGGCCAGAAATCGGTAGCTTTTGGTTTTCAGTTAGGAGGAGACGTCGTCCGGTTTGAGGCTTCTTGTGGGTCTGTTCACTGTGAATGGCGCCGGTCGGAAGGAGAGCCGACCACTAAAGAGATTGCCACCAGTACGGTGGCCGGCGTTGTTTGGCAGGGCTGAGTATTTTGCTCTCGGGAGCAAAGAAAGAAAGGGGAGAAAGAGTAGAAGAAAATGGTGCGACTGAGGGGATTTAGTTCAAGTCATATCTTAGTTTTAGGTTTTATTAAGGAATTAGGGTCTAATTTCATCTAAGTCCCTCAGTAATTGCCTTTTATTTACATTTTGGATCCCTAATTCATATCATTTTTATTTATTTCGACTTTTGGCTCACTGTTTTACTTTTATTTAATTTTGGTAAAATTGTTTTGCCATTTTGATTTGATTAGATACTATTTTTATTATTTATTACATTTTTATCAATATTTTGCATTTTATTCATGTTAATGTTTCTCCTATTTTATTATTTGTTGTATTTTGGAAACTGGTTTGGGCCATTTTAAATTTAAGTTGAATGTGAAGGATTTGTTTATGCTAATTTCCCTTTCTTCCTTTGTTAAGTAATTGCAAGGGTCTTAAAATAGGTACATTATGTTTTAGTACGTTTAGCGCACATTTACGTTTTGGTCTCTATTTCTTTTAATTTATTGCATTTTCAAAATTAACCTGTAATTTCTGTTTTATTTTATTTTAGTCACTTCTTACATTTTGTTTATGTTGATTTAGCTACTGATTTATCATTTATTGCACTCTGGTCTCAAGTTTGTTTTTATACTTGAATTTCATATTGTTTCATTTTATTTTGATTTATTCACTTATTGACTTTATTATTATTATTATTATTATTATTATTTGAATTGATTGATTGTATTTTGTTTATTTTATTTTATTTTATCATTCATTCTGAGATGTTATACTTCTCTTCGAGTTCTTTTTTTTTTTTATATATCGTTCATTCCAAAGTTTTGCATTCTGTAGGTTGTTTGTTGAAGAAGTATATACTATGTTCATAAAGTAATATAATTAATGATGCTCAGTGTGCAATCAATTTGGGTGCAGGTATAGGCATGTGTGAAATCAATTTGATAAAAAGAACTAGTAATGTGTCGTTTATTACCGAGTGTTTCACGTTATACCAAGAAACAGTGAGCCTTTCTCGCATCAATTCCCTGATTATACTATGATTCATCTATACATTGAATATAATCAAGCTTTTAATTGCATACCTACGTCAAAAGTTTTATCTTTCATTTTATTTTATATAAGAGCTGAATTCTGGTTAAATAACTATCTTCCTTTGCAGTTATTGATGATGCTCAGTGTGAAAAGAGGCTCTGGGACATGAAATACAAAGGGGTGAAGAATTTTTACATGTGTGAAATTCGAAAAAATTTCACAATCGATGCAACTTTCAAAGGAAATGCATCTCGTTTTCTAAATCACAGCTGTGAACCCAATTGTGTATTGGAGAAGTGGTTGGTATTAGTATATTGCCTTTTTATTTGTTGCTGTTAAATTCTGTAAAAGCTACTGGGTTTTAAAGGCCCAATAACATTTTGTTACCTGTCAAACCTTTTATTGCAAATATGATATGGTCATCTTCAACGTTTTATTGTTCTGATTTTCGTTTTGATTTTATCTCTCACACGTACGCGGACACTCACATATTTTTTTTTTGAATCATTCAAATGTTTCATATTACAAAATGTTATCATTTTAGGTGATATGACCGTAATTGTTGCTAAAAACATGTCATGTTTTAATAATTTTATTTAAAATTAAAAAGTTCAAATCTTCATTTCAACCCCTAAACTAACGTTTGTCATCATCCATTGCTATCGACCAAGCTTCACTTGATCTGACCTTCCTTGTTAAAAAGATGATCAATTGTGGTTGATTGGATGATGGTGGTATGAGATTTAAAGATTATGGGGTTTAAGGGTATTTGAAAATTGATGCTTTTGTTTTAAAAATAAAATAGAAAAACTATAAAACATAATATACATTAAACACTAATTAGATAATAAATTTCTATAATGACGTTAACAACTAGACACTTTAAAATGACAACTTTAAGAAAAAAACATTTATACCCATTTGAGGAAAACATTTAGTTTTCGAAGGAATGGGATGAATTGTAAGGAACGATGAAGGCTTTTCTCGGGTCTATAGAATTGGCTTAACGACAACGAGGAAGCTCTAAGGTTTCATTTCTAGGATCAAAATATATAAAATCCGCTTAGGATTAACAATATCATTGAAACCTGCTAAACAACCAGCCAAATTCATGGATATAGTGATCAAATACCCATAAATATATAAAATTTATGCGTAAGCCACCACAAGTATAAGCAGCTTTGGACCAGGTGGCTCCAAAGATGTTTAACACAGTATATCCATCTTCATCTTCTGGCTCCGAGTCCGACCATATAAAACGATGTTCCCCACGCATTGTCTCCACAAATTCAATTTCTTCTAGCCCTGGATGAACAAAATAAACATAAGCATTAATTTCCTAGAAGAATCATATATAAGCACATATATTTATTAGTTAAAATTTAATAAATTGGACCTTCAATTTTATGGACTTCTTTCTCAGTCATGTAAACTTCCATTATACGACGATCTTCAACCTTTACAAGAAAAAACAACTCTTTTACCGTTGATGAAAAAATAGGGAAAGAAAAAAAAAAAAGAACTTTTCAATATTCAATCTAATTCAATTCAATGTACCAATATAACATACATATACTAATCAGACCGAATCAAATGAAAGTGGAAGAGCCATGCTTACTTAGGAAGTGCATCTATCAGCAATAATCCCTGTTCTTCAAAATCTATACCAGAATTTTTTTTATATTGTACCACTACAATTGCACATTCAGTTACCACAGAAGAAATAGTAATGCATCATGTCTACTATTTATAATCCTCTTTGAAAATAATGCAAGTCAATTATATGAAAATCATCAACCACAAACCAAAGGAGTCAACCTTTCTCGCCTCCTCGTCTTTGCTCTGTTCCGGTACTAGGGGTATGCCTCCTGCAACACATAAAGTGTTCAATGAGTAGCGAACAAGTTAAAATCAAAGATAACCACACTTGTAAACCTTGCGAGGCACATATACCGGTGCTTGTTAATTCTTTTGTAGCATAAAATCCACCACAACCAAATAATAGCATATGTGGATTCCCAAATTCCATAAAATCAAAACAAATAAAACACAGACTCCCATAAAATCCAAAATAGCCAAGTGAGAAAGTGAAACACAAGCATTGAAGTGGAAAATAGAAAAGCACAGAATTCCAGGATTACCTTCCTTTTCTTCACCCCCATAACAGTTTCTTCAGGTTTCACAGTCATTTCTGAATCAGCTGCATGGCATATGTGAGAAACAGATCTGCAATCTCAAAGAAAGAAAGAAGAAGAAAATAGAGAAATAGATAGAGAAGCAAGAAGAACTGGAGAAGATAAGTATTTTGATAAACAATTTGCAATGTCCGTTCTGTTACAGACCCTTTTCCTTATAAAGCAATTAACTCAATGCATAAATTCATTCAACTTCTTTGGCTCTTTCTTGACACGTGTTCTCTCGTACAGAGGTAATAGTTATGATTGTCGACTTGGTTGTTCTCTCTTAATCCCTTGTTCATAACAATACCATCCCTTGGGAAAAGAACCTTTTCCTCAAGGTTCTTAGCCGGTATTGTTCTTCGAAACACCTCCATAGGCATCCAAGCATCTGCCTAAGGTTCTCTTTTTCCTCTATGAAAGGGACGGCGCAAATAACTTCTATTGTGTAACTTACACTTTGGAAAAGTTGTCACCATAGACGGCAAATACATGTGTACCTGGTTTTAATTCAGTTATTTCACACAGTTGAAATTCATCCAGCATTTTGAAAGAAGCTGCATCTAGATCCTTTGCGGCAGCTATTTCTTGATCCTGGCAATAAACAGAGAAGCCAAGAAAATAGATTTCAGTAGATGTAATCATGTAACTATTTTCATCTTGGCACTATCCTCTTGTAGCGCAAAGCTTAATCCACTATTATCTTCTAGATCAAAATACAATAACTTGAACTTGCTTCTATCATATGATTGTACTTGGCAAACAAACCCATCTCTTACTTCTTTTGTTACTGCAACAGAGTAGAAATGAGCACATTGTTCTTCAACTTTCCTAGAAATAGGTTGCCCCAACAGAAGTTGTCTAATAGCCACTATTCTATTAAGTGCCTCCTTTAAAACATTTGCAAACATAATGGTCTTAATTAGCACACTAAGTTTACTAAAATGTGCAGCAAACCTGGTGTTCGCATGTTTACGTAAAATTGATTTCGTGTTCCACGTGATGTGTTTGGCAAGTGCTCGATAATTGTTTAATGTGTCCGGAAAATGTCCCTTCTTAACATATCATTCAAAAGCAAAAAAGGAAAAAGATAGAGGGTCGTTGAATACAAATTTTATCTGCATTTTCCGACATATTTTTGTCAATCTGAGTAATTTCGACTGTGTGACTCATCTGAATTCACATGTCAATTGAAAATTTATGATTCAAAGCTGAGTAAACTAGGAAAGATAGTTGACAAGGGAATTTCCAAATACTAATTCCAGCAACATATTGAAAGCCTAAAGACAATGTGATCGTTTAAAAAAACATTGAAGTTTTGCCTTGCCCGGCATCAATTTTGAGTGTAATTATTTGTTGATACAACGGATTTTCCATTATTTGCAAAGATATAGATAAGATCATATTCGTTAACAAAAGAATTATTAGTTGTTGTTGAATTATATCAACAAAAAATGACAAAGGAGAAACCTTTACCAGATGATTAACGACAATAGCTACAGTAGGCGACTACAAACGAAAGACCTAATTTACTGCAAAAATACCATATAATTATCAATATATATATAGGTATTAGTCAATTATTTTTTTATGAAATCATTTTTAAAAATAAATTTTTATAAAGTTTACAATTAAATTGAATTCAACCGTATTCGTTTTTTCTTTTTAATTATTTTCTTTTACTTTTCTTAAAGTTTTTTTTGTCAAATGTAGACGTTTAATATTTTCTCTTTAGGGTATTTAACATTTTATTTTGTTATTGTTTTAAAATCATTCCATCAACTATCATTAAAAGAATTCCGTATATACTATTATTTTTTTATTAATATTAACTTTAAAAATAATAAATTTTATTTTTTTAAAAATACAATTTTTTAATTTCTTAAACCCAAATCCTACATCCCCTAATTCCTTTAAAGACGGGTGACTAGGGAAGTATGCAGTTGGGTATTGAAAAGACCCAATTTTGATTCAGGAGGCAATATAGTTTCATAACGATAACGAATATGCAACGACTAGGGTGAAAAAAGATTTCGTTTAACTAAATTTCAGGACAACATGCGATTATAAGACAACGAGAATAAAGATTAACGAACACGAACATAAGCGAACACAAAATTTCTAGTTTGTGTTCGTTCGTTAAGGAATGTAGCTTGTTCGTTCATTTAAATAATAACGAATGGATGTAAATGAACACAATAAACGAACGTAAAAGAACACAACAAATGAAAATAAATGAACATGCACAAACATAACAAATGAACAAAATCGAACAAAATAAATGAACGTAAACAAACGTAAGCAATAACAACAATAACCACATAAAATTGATTATTCATTAATATAATATACAACTTCAGAGTTATTTTAAATGGGAATGGTTTATATTTGGTTTAAGGTTAACTGTTACCATTATAATAGACCCAATTTAACACTTTCACACTATCGTATTTTCATATTAATTTAACCCTCAAAGTTGATCAACTGCAACATTCTATACCCTACCCCTAACTTAAAATCCTAAATTATAAACCCTAAACCCTAACTTAGGATTTATAATTTAGGTTTTAAGTTAGGGTTAGGATATAGAATGATTCAATTGAGTAACTTCAAGGACTAAATTGATGCAAAAATACGATATGGGCGAAAGTGATAAATTAGGTCTACTACATGGGCAAAAGTTATCTTTTTGCCTTTATATTTTCTTTAATTTATCCAAGTTTAAAATTATTTGGGTTTTAAAATATTAATGATTGGTCCTAATATTTTAATTGGGCATGGAGATTAGGCTGAATATAAATGAACGGACATAAACGAACATACGCAAACATAAATGAACGAAAATAAATGAACATAACTTAACGAACATAAAGGAACATAATTAATGAACATAAACGAATGGTTTACCGAACATTCACGAACGTAAATGAACGGACAATACCTTCTTTTCATGTTGAAAAGGAAAAGACATAGAGACCAGAGCTAACCATGCTTATCTTCACCAGCGACGTCTTCCCCCAAAGCATCTCCTCGATATTCTCCATCGAATCGAAATTCAGAGCGTAACCAATAAATTGACCCACTAAAAAGAATCTTCATTCTGAAATACCTTCATCAAACACAACAAGAGGGGGATTAACAACAATTCCACCCTTACGATTCACCGGAGGAAAGAACTCCAAAGCATGTTTCTCCATCACCGCAAATAACTACCTCCAATCAACATCCTCACCCTTCAACAGCTCATTCATACTCACCAACACAGTCGAGTTTGGAATTTTTGTTGTTGAGGTTTTAGGAAAAATTAATTTTTTTCAAATAATAATAATAATAAGTTATTTAAATAAAAAATTAAATATTTTATAAACTCGATATGTATCACATTTTGAGTGGTTGATACAAATAAATCTTTTAACGTCTTACAGACCATACACTTAAAATAATAACATTAAAAATTTAACGGTTAATCAACTACTTCAATAAAAAAAACTTCAAACACTTAGAGTATAAAAATGTTAGGTTAATTTTGACATTTATTTTTTAATTAATCCTTTAAATTATAATAACTTAAATATGTGTAAAATTTTGTGAATACTTAATTGATTTCCTAGATTTTGATATAGTACCTCAGTAGCAAGTATACATTTCACCATCCATAAGCTGTAAATTCTAAATATAAAACTAATTCATCTAGTATTTCTTACACCATTAAAACCAAAAAGAAAAAGAAAAAGAAAAAAGATGAAGCCACTAAGATTCAGATGAACAATGCAACGATGGAAGAAGCCACAACAATCCTCGGAAGAGGACACTCGTTTTTCGCTACTATCTTATATCGACTGACGATAATTCATGCATAATTGCATAAACTCATCTTTCTTTTTCACAGATAAGATTAGTACACCCCAAATGACACACTTGGTCTTGTAAATACCTGTAACACCTAAAACCCGTATAATTAAACCAATATAAATTATAGATGTCACATGAATTTCTTAAAACGTTTCTCAATTCCAAAAGTGATTTACAAATTTATTTTCTTAAAACGGTAATTGAAAATATAAAAATATTATCTCAAGTAAAACTATCACATAATATATATATATTAAACGCATCTACTCAAAATAATAATATTGGTTCATATTATCCATATTAAAAATAGCATAAAACGATTCAGTTTATCCGTTACAAACCAATTTTAAAAATAGTTAAACAGAGCTAATAGAACATTTGTAAATACATGCCACTAAACTACGTCAAAATTTCTTTGTACTCTTAACTTCTAATCCTGGTTTTTACCTACGCATGAAAATCATCACACACTAAGTATATACTTAGTGAGACAATTAAAAAAAATAATCAGTGCAATACAACTCATGCATGAAATTTAATATCATTTTTTCCAATGCAATAATATCACCTTACCTGCATGAATAATATTTTACCATAATCAAATGATAATAATATCATTAATATTATTTATGCCACCAACCATAACCATAGCCCAAATGTAAACATATGAAGACCCTGGGTATTCTAGTAAAATATATACACGTAGTGCTAAACCTACACTAAGCTTAAGCTCTACTGCTAATTTGGATATGACATGTAGGGTGGTGTCCATCACCTACACTAGATTTACACTATAGTGCTAATCCGGATATGACACATAAGATTGTGCCCACCACCTGCACTTAGTGCTAATATAAATTTCTAGCTGCTATACTCTATGGCATGCCAACTATACCCTATCCTTCAACAACTTACTTGGGCATATAATATAATTTATTCATCATGACATCATATGACCATATAATGAATATTAGGGCAGTTCATACCTAAAATAACATCCATGGTAAAAATATTACATTTATCCGCGATCAATGCATTATAATTGTATACTATGACATATTGATGTCATATCGAAGTTATAAAAATGACATAATATCAGCTGATATAAATAAGGTAGACTTGTCCAAGTCTTTCTGATGATGTATGTACAATCTCATGCATGTATTGCACTCACCCTGACATTTTATTATCAAAAGATGTGACATACTATGCTCCACACTAGATCTTTTTATATTCGATTTGCTTCGATCACAAAATCAATCGCAAATTGTATAAATCACAAATTGATGTCGATACGTATGTTATTATTATACTAACATAAACACATCTCCAAAACAAAATCTATAATATACTTGAAACTTATTTTCTAAAAAAAATACTTAACACTTAATAATTCCTTTTAATATTGGCACCAACCTTTTTATTTACACAAAATGGTCCTTCACAATTTTATCACTTAAATTATTAATACCAAAATTACAGAATTGAAATTATTACCATTCAAGTTCTTCTACAAAGGCATAATTACATTTAAGCATCCCATCTATACGAATATTGCACTTAAATCACCAAATTTTTCAAACTTCCAAAATGGTCATATTTTACATCTTAACACTCATTTCAATTACAAAACAATAATTTCTAGTATAGTACATAAATTATTAAACAATTTCACAACCCTCACAACTTTTCCAAAATTATCAAATTGATCCCCAACTTTTCAAAAATTAATAGTCCTCAAA